GTTCCTCCTCCTCCCCTGTCTTCCCTCCTCCTCCTCCTCCTCCTCCTTCCCCCCCCTCCTCCTCCTCCTCCTCCTCCTCCTCCTCCTCCTCCTTTTCCCCCTCCTCTCTCCTCTGCCGTCTCCTCCTCCTTGACACCTCGCCCCTTGACCACCTGCCCACCTCGCCACCTCACCGCCGGACAACCTGGCCACCTTACCACCTTAGCACCTCACCCCTTGACCACCTGCCCACCTTGCCACCTTACCACCTTACCGCCATGCCACCTTACCACCTGACCAACTTGCCACCTCACCACCTTACCACCTGACCTCCTGACCACCTGACCACCTGACCACCGGGCCGCCGGACCGCCGGACCACCGGACCACCTGACCAGTTGACCACCTGACCACCTGACCACCTGACCACCTGACCACCTTACCACCTGACCACCTTACCACCTTATCACCTTAGCTATTTTAGGGCCTGTCGGCCCCTCGTCAGCGACCAACAAAGAGAAAACGGACGCTTAAGGACACGAGAAAACGCGTGTAGATATCCATTGGCGTGGCATCATTTTTCAGGGAGTTCTAGAGGATAAAGTAAACTGCCCCCCTCCCCCCTCAGAGCCCTAGAACCACCTTGCCACCTTACCGCCTTGCCACCTTACCACCACACCACCTGACCATCTTACCAGCTGACCACCTTACCACGTGACCACCGGACCACCTGGGGGGGGGAGGAAGAGGAGGAGGAGGAAGAGGAGGAGGAGGAGGAGGAGGAGGAGGAGGAGGAGGGGTAGGAGAAGGAGGAGAAGGAGGAGGAGTGGATGCGGGCATGAAAGCGGTGCCCGCCATCAAGAAGCAGTTCGACGAGGGCAACCGCGAGGGGCGCAAGGCGAGGATCCCAAGAGGCCGCCAAGAGGGCTCCAAGAGGACCCCAAGTGGGCCACAAAGCGAGACGCGGCCGCATCTCGCTTTGGGGCACGGGGCAATAGGCCTCCTCCTCCTCCTCCTCCTCCTCCTCCCCCTCCTCCCCCTCCTCCCCACTTCCTGCCCCTCCTCTCCCTCCTCCCCCTCCTCCTCCACCCCCTCCCCCCCCTCTCCTCCCCCGCGCACGGTTCGAAACAAAAACATCTAGGGCGCTAAGATCGTTTGGAGTCTCGCGCTGCATAAGCCGCGCAGCGGGCGCCCGTGACATGTGAATTGCATTGAATTGCGGCTGGCTGGCGTGAGACATTAATACTCGTGTGGGTTTTTGCACTCGCGCGTGGTGCGTGAGGCGTTGGATGGATGCGCAGTTTTAACGTGCATGGCGCGCGCGCGTGCGGCCTGCCCCCCAAACTCGCACAGTTCAGCAATCATGTTGGTCATGTGTCACTGGGAAACATGTTTTTTTTTTTTTCCGAATTGCGATTTCAGATGCGTTGTCGCGGGCTCTTGGGCCAACGAATATTTGGTCATGCATTCTGGGAATTATTGGTTTTCTTGGTTCTGGTTCCCATAAGTAGAGAGTCGGGGCTGACCAGCTCATGGTGCCCCCCCTGCCAGAGATCCTGGCGTCCGCAACGCGTGGGCCACAGATGGGTCCGTCCGCCTCCCGGCTGGCCGCCCAGTCAGCATTCGCGTGCCCAGTGGCGTCCAGCCACCGGGCGTGGAGGTCCGCAGCGCTTTGCCCTCTGCTCCTCAGCGCTTGGCTGGGGTCGTCAAGGTCTGAAGGGGTGGGCGGGTTCTCCATTCGCAACTCATCCAGGGCAAGGTCTGGGGATGGGTGGGAGGGGGGGTCCGCGAGGACGGAACCCCCGTGCGCCGCGTAGCTAACCACGAAGGGCGAGCCGCTGTCCGTCCAAAGGAGGGGCCCCCGCTCTCTGTCCTGTGACGAGTAGTCAGGTCCACGGCGGCATCCACAAAACGCGGCGTTAGGAAACTCGAGCCCAGGGGGCGGGTCAGGAGGGGAAAAGTCGGGAGAAGAGCTGGTGGGCGAGGGAAGAAAGGCACGGGGAGATCCAGCCGCCGGGATCGGAGACCTTGCCCGATCGATCCGATCAACATGAGGAGCGGCCCCGACCGCGGGATCGGAAGCAACCCTGGGGGTGCTGGGCGAACGAGGAGGCCCGTCGGGCCTTCCATCCGCCGATCCCAGAGAGGGAAAGATGCGATCGATCATCCCTGTGGAGGAAGGTGTCTCCCTGCGATCACTGGAGTCGGGGGCCCCCGCCTCTCGTTCCACTCCCTCTGGCGGAAGGCCAGGCCCGTTGCCTGCTCCGGGGAAGCGACGGAAGGTCGCACTATCAGTGTGTATACTGTTGACGCTCTCCCGCCCCGCCTCTGTGGGGGCTGGGTCACAGGTCATGTCTTCCATCTGCCAACGGTCCCTGGGTCGAACGCCGTGCGCCTCCCTCTGCATGCAGTCGTCCGATCCAGGGTAGCGACGGAAGGTCGCACGTTCTGTGTGTCTCGCGGGGGAGAGAGCCTCGCCCCCTCCACCAGTGTCGTGCCTAGCGCTCTCACTTCCAGTGGGTCGACTGAAGGCCGCAGCGTTAGGGCGTGCACAGCCACCGCACCGCCGCCCAACCCCCGCGGGGGTAGGGTCTATAGTCCTTACTCCCACATCCGACTGGTCCCTGGGTCGAACGCCTTGGGCCTCATCCAGCCCTCCGCCATCCGATCCAGGATAGCGACGGAAGGTCGCAAGATCTGTGTGTATCTCAGGGATGTCTGCATCACCCCCTTCTCCAGCATTACGCATGCCGCTCTCGGGTCCATGGGGGCGGTCGAACGCTGCATCGGCGTCGGGATGCGCTCCACAGGTGGAAGGCCTGGCTCCACCGCTTAGCTCACCAGCGGGGACGGCCTCACTCAGCGCGGGCACGTCCAGGGGGGGGGGTCGGCGGTGGGTTGGCGCGAGCCTCCGTGAAGCGGGCCAGGGCTGCGGGCAGAGACCTGCCCATTCCTGTTGCCTATGCCCTCGTGAGCGCCCCCTGAGGGCATCAGCTCCCTGAGCTCCCCACCCGAGTCGCCCTGGCCCCTGGGGCGACCGCCGAGGACGTTCATCTGCGCCTCGTCAGTTGGCCTAAGCGGGACTGGATCCGCGAGGGGGTTTGCTTGTGCAGAAGCGAGGCCCTCTCCCCCCGTAGCCCTGGCGTCGCCTAGGGCCGATCCACGCTGTCCAACAGCGCCTGGAGAGAAGGAAATTGGGCGCCCCGCAGCGGGCATGGGAGCGGTGGGGGGTGAGAGAGGCGGTTGGGTTAGACAGGGGGGCTTCGTGCCCACGGTCATCGCGTCCAGGGGAGCGACGGAAGGTCGCAGCGTCGGAGTGCATTCTGCCAACGTTCTCACGACCACCACCCATGTGGGTTAGCTCCCTGATGCACTCTTCCCCTTCACACCGTTCCCTGGGCTGAACACCGCGGGCGTTCCTCTGCCCGTCGCAGTCCGTTCCAGGGAAGCGACGGAAGGTCGCAAGATCTCTGTGAATTGTGGGGATGGACGCGTTACCCCCTCCTCCAATGCTGCGCCTGCCGCTCTCAGGCCCCTGAGGGTGGCCTAGTGCGGCATCAGCGTTGATGTGCGCGCCGTAACCTGAGGGCCCGTCTTCTATGCTCAAAACGCTGCGGAGAGCAGCTTCGCTCGGTGCGGCCGCATCCAGAGAGGGGGGCGCGGCGGAGTGAGGGCAAAAGCCTCTAAGATGCGCGACGGGGTCAAGGCGACGCGACTGCCCGTCTCCCCCCACTTCGCCTTCGTGGGCGCCTGCTGGGGGTGTCGGGTCCATGCTCTCCCCATCCACGCCGCCGAGGTCCCTGCGTCGGGGGCCGAGGGCACCTCTCTGCTCGTCGCCGAGCTGTCTGAAAGGAACAGGATCCGTGGGGGGATAAACTGCTTCAGGAGTGGGGCCATTGGCCCCCGTGAACCTAGTATCGCCATGGGCGGTCCCGTTATGCCCAGCGCTGCCTGGAGAAAAGGAGATTGGGCGCCCAGCAGTGGGCATAGGAAGAGCGGGGGTAAGAGAAGGGTAGCTAGGCGGGAGGGCCTCATGCCTGCCATTATTAACTCCAGGGTGGCGACGGAAGGTCGCGCTGTCAGTTTGAAACAGAGGGCTGAACGTATCAACCCCGTCTATCGCTGCGCGTCCGCCGATCTCAACTCCAGGGTAGCGACGGAAGGTCGCAACTTCGGTGTGCATCACAGGGTTGAGGGAATCAACCCCTCCTTCCGATTGGTTGGGGGCCCTCGGTCCTCGTGTACACGAAGCATCGGCTGAAGCGCTCCCATTCCAGGGAGCAGGGGGCGACGGTTGTCCCGGCGGGATGGTGTCCTGAGATCCAGGGCGAGTATGTCCTGAGTCATTCAGTCCACTGGTCCCGAGGCCGACATCAGGTGATGCGGCCCTCGCCCCCGCAGGGATGACAGGATTATCGTCGATCGATCGCTCGGTCATCCATGGGGCGGCGGCCCTGATCCGATCTGAGCCGCGGGCCGCTGAGCCCGTGTGCGCGGCGGCAAGGCTGCAGCAATGGCCGGCGCGCCCAGGGGCCGGTGGGGATCCAGGGCCGCGGGCCCACGACGCTGCGTCTGGGCGCCCCCTTGAGCGGCGGGAGACTGCCCCGGAGAGGGCAGGCCCACCAGACGGCCTTGAGCAGTGGGGATACGCGAAGAGTCGAGAATTTAACCTCCAAGGAGATGCAACCTGATGCTCTGCTCTGATCCTACTCCTCTCCCCCCTGTCTCTTCGCCATGTTCGGCCTCGAGGGGGCCTTTGCCGGACCGTGGGGCCATCAACAGCAACGACTCGGGACAAGAAACATGTCTCCGAGAAGGGGTCGAGAGCTCCAGGATCACCGTGTTGACAAACCAATACATCGAAGTTATGGGATTTTACCTCCCACCTTCTCCTCCTCGTCACGTCTGCCTCCTCCTCCTCCACGCTCCACCTCCACCTCCACCTGCACCTCAACCTCCTCCTCCGACTGTGAAGGGGGGATTGGGAAGGCGCCGAGAGCCAGGGTGAGAAGCCTGGGGAACTCAGCCGCGCATGTACATGTCCGCGAACGCCTGTAGGACGACGTACCCCGCTAGAATTGCGAAGATCAGCGCTCCGATCTGCAGGAAATACGCGAAAGCGAGCGCGTCGGACGAGAGCGTCTGTCGGCCTCGGTTCGAATCCATGTCGGGGCCGATCGTGACCTTGCCCTTCCTGCCGATGGGCCTCGGCTTCATGGGTGGCGCGGCCCCTTCCGCTCCCGGTGAGCCCTGGTCCTCGAACTTGGCGAAGACGATACGGTCGTCCCCGGTGCCGAACTCCTGCCCGAACGCGATCCGCCTCCAGAACTCCCAGGAGGCGTACAGGAAGGGCACGGAGAACACCAGGAAGACCGCCGTGTTGAGGAGGAGGTCGCCCTCCCTCAGGGGCGACACCTGCGCGCCGCTCTCGGCGAACTTCGCCGCGTTCTGCAACACCAGCTCCTCGCGCGTGGCCTTCCGGGTCGTCAGCGGCCGCCCCAAAGCCGCGTCCGCCCGCAGCGGGCCGGCCACCGCGCGGAGGCCCCGCCGCGGCGCCGCGGCGAAGGCGGCTCGGGCCGCCGGGCGGGACGCGCGCAGCGCCGCAAAGAGGGCCAGCGCGCGGCCGCCAATGGACCTCCCCCGGAGATGCTGGCGTCGCGAGTGTTCGGACACCGGGTGTCTGGGCCCGGGCTCGAGCCTCGCGCATGGAGCCGGCTCGAGAGGTGCCGCAGGAAGGCGGGGGTTCCAGGGCTCTGGCCGTGATGTCCCACGATGCTGCACTTTTGTCCGCGACGTCGGATCTCAGGGACCGTCGGCGGGAAGCCATCCCGGCCATCGCGGCGCGCGCCAGAGCACGGGCGGCGCCGTCTCGCGCTGGAGCCCACACGAGCGGGGGAGAGAAGAGGGTTCGTACTCGTGAGGGCTCGGCGACCTTGCGCGGTGGCTCACGCTGGACGCCAACGCGACACCACAGAACAGAGGGCGCTGACGCGCGACCTTGCGCGGACAGCTTACGCGAGATTGTCCGCTCAGTAGGCCCTCTCTTTTTTTACGCGCTCTGACGGAGGAAAAGGAGGCGAAGGCGAAGAAGGAGGAGGCAGATTCAGGACGAATGGGATGAGAGCGATGAGCAGAAGGGTGAGGATAGGGAGGACGCGCAGCCGCGGCCGAAGACGTAAGAGACATGATAAGAGATCGGGAAGACGTAAGAGGTAAGAAAACAAAGCCTAGAGTGACCTCTGGAGGTCGCTTGCGGAAGAGAAACACACTCAACACCTATACCTCCGACGTCGTTATTTGTTTATGTGGATCCTGAATCGTTTCTTGACGGCTCTGGGGCTTTGTGACGGCCCCCAGGGGCCGAAGGCGACGACAGGCCTTCCATCGGGCTGTCTTCTTTTCACGACGCGAGGAGGTCTAAGGGGATCGACCCTCCCTTATGTGCCCTACCCCGCCCCGCCCTCCGAGATCTTCCGAAGCTTGTGTTGCATCTTCTGGGGACCCTGTCTGTCCCATCGCGTCGCTACCCGCGACGAATACACGTCGAATCCGCGGCGCACTCACGAAGGGTCCGCGTCGAGTCCCACGTGGGAAAAAAAACGCCGTTTACAGGACAGACAAGGCCCCCCGGGGCTGCAACGTAACGAGGAAACCAAGACCGAAAAACCGATCGAACCGACAGCGACACCGAAACCGACCGAAACATCATTTTGGCAGACGCAGCTGAGAAAGATGCAGCGACGCAGAAGCGACGCAACAGCCGACCGAACCGAAACGACCGATCGCAACCGACCGCGACGCAGCCGAGCCGACAAACCGTGGACACTCCTGACCCTCCTGAGGGGCAGCGGTAGTAGCCAACTCAGGTGAGATACATCGCCGATGGATCGGCGATAACACCCTGATAGCGAAACTGCACGGTCCAGGGCGGGGCTGGCTATCGGGCCCCTATCGGCGATCACAAGGCGATCGGGGGTCGATGCGTCCCCCCCTGCCGCTGCCATTGATCTCCCCCGCCCTCCGAAGCCCCCTCCCTGGCGGCGGCCCCGTCCGACGGCCGGCCCGCCTTGGCGGGCCCGTCCCCTGCGATCGCCAGCACGGCGTCCACGCCTTGCCCGCCAGCCTGGTATCGGGGATGGGAGGGGGGGGCACTGGCTGCAGGTCGTGCTGATCGGGTGCGCCGAAGAGGGGGCCAGGCGGCCAGAAGACATCATGGCCCGAGGCATGTGCGCGGACGAGGGGGACTAGGGAACGCATCAAGAGGATCTTAATGGGTATACCAACGATAAGATGAGGGGGTCAGGAAATCTGGGAGAGGTCATGGCACCGGCCATGTTACATCCCTGCCCCACACACCGGTTTTCACCAACCTTTTCGGGCGCTCGGGCGCCCCCAACAAAGAGATTTGATGATTATGCGACGGCCATCTCAGGAAGCCCTGGATCCAGGCATGTCAACGTCCGGCTTATCCTTCCGTTGCCCTCTGTCCACCTTCCGCTGGCGTCTGCCGGCGGAACCGCCGCCGTTTTACTTCCTTTTTCCGATACAGCCCCCCTTAGTCAATGGCTCTGGAGGCTTCGTGTGGGGTCAGCTAAAGCCTGCCGAAATCTCGGCGCCCTCATCCACTGTGACGATGGAATGCACGCAGAGGCACGCAGGGCGGACGATCAGCCAGCACAGCTAGACATAGCTGAGAAGAGAGGCGTAGAATCCTGCCCCCGCGCACCCCCGCCTCTGCAGGAGTGGCACGGCGAGGGGAGCCTCCCCGAACCCTCTGGTCCTGGGAGGGCTACGGGACTACACCAGAAACAAAAACTTTCGAGCCCCGATCCAAACACTCACCCACATGCCACCAGAAGAGCTAAAAAAGGACGCGGTAAGCCTCTGGTCAGAAGCCCCTGGATTTCCAACTCGAGAGGTGGAGGGCCCCTCAGGCTCTGCTGCTACTGCCTCTGAAACTCCTACTATTTGCGCTGCTTCTTCCTGCCCTTGCCCGCCGCGGCCCCGCCCCCGCCCTTGCGAAAGGCCAGGCGCTTTCATCGCGAAGATCCACTTCGCGCACTCCACGTCGCTGTCTGGGCTCTCCTTCGCCTCGATGAAGAGGCGCCTCGTGGCCTGGATCACGGCCTCTTTCGTGCAGGCCTTCTCGCCCCATGCCGCCAACTGCTCCAGGGCCTGCTTGGTGCTGATCGGGCCCAGCCCCTGCTCTGCAGCCTGCTCCACCTGCTCCACCGCCTGCTCCACCCTGATTCCCATTGCCGCGACAAGGAGGCGCTCGAGGTAGGCGCCTGGCTTCTTTCCGAGCGGGTTACCGCGGAAGGCGCCCCCCTCGGCCCCCTCGCGGGCCCCCCCCCCGCCTCCGCGCACAGCGCCGCGCCCGCCTCTTGCGCCTTCGCTCGTCATGATCGCGAAATTGTCGTCGCGCGCCAACCCTCGAAGGTCCTCTTCGTGCTGCAGCGCCAGACGGGCGATGGCTGTCTGCAGCTGCTTGCTCACCGAGCCCTCGCCCTCGGCGTCCTTCGAGTCTTTGCCCTCTGCCTCTCCCTTCTCCTCCCGGGGCCTCGTCACGCCCTTGGTGTTGACCCGAGCGGCTCGAACGTCGCTAGCGCTAGCACTGTGGTCAGCCCCTGATGCCATAGGAACGGGTTGGGCTGCCCGATGTTCTCGAGCCACTGGGCACCGGTGGAGAGCATGGCGTTGGAGGGAATCCTTCCCGGCGAATGACGCGCTGCAATGTGGGCGCGCCCGGCGTTTAAGAAATTCCCCAGGTACTGCTGGAACGCCGGGTTCGATGTTATGATCTCGCAGTCGATGGCACAAAAAAACCTATTGGGCCTCGACGCGCTTGCCCACAGTCGGGACGCTGAAGCACTGGGATTTCGATGCCATCACCACCCTCGCCACCAGGTCGGTCGTCACTCGGGGTCGAGAACGACAGCGCAGAACGAAGAGCCGCGACGGAGGTCTCGTGGAGCCAGAGGAGCCACTTGGGGTGCACTGTGGGAGCTCTAGTAGGGGAAACTGGCGCAGCTGGCTCGCCCAAGGACTTCCACATGGTTGCCCGGTCATCTCTTAGTAGTGGAAGACGAGCTGTAGGTTCCAAGAGGAAAGAGGCCTCGAACGGTAACCTGCCGAACGCAACCGGCCTGACCATTTTGCTCGGGTCGTAGTCGGGAGTGGTCTCCAGAAAAAGCTGGCCCCATAACATGTTTCCACCATTTGAGCCCTCTGAATAGGAGGGCAGAGGTCACGCTGGATATTTTCGACTTCTTCCTGGCCCCCACATTCGGAACATGCTTAATATGGGCTGGTAGAAAGAAGTATCGATGGCGCCTGTTTTGCCAGCGTTCGAGTCGCGCGACTACTGATTTAGTCAGCATAGCCATTTCCGTGGAAAAAGGAGCCACGGTTCGAACCAGAGAGCACCGCAAACGAATTCTCAGCCGCATGCCCATGTTGCTGCGGATGATGCGTTGCGCCAATCTGCCGTGGGCAAGGTTCGCTCTCTGCAGGCGGGCGGCGACTTCCTCTTGCATAGTGCCTTGGACAGAAAGGCGCGCCCCTAAATACTTGACATGCGGAAGTGCGTGCTGGGCAAGGCGATTACCGTCGGCTCCACGAAAGTGAACTCGTGTTTGTTTACTCTGGGCCTGTCGTCGCAAGCGTCCACATCCACCTCCAGCAACCCCGATCATTATCGCTGTCTTGGGCGCGTTGAGTTTCATACTTCTGGCCTCGACTTCTTTCCTCGGGAAGTTCGGGGGGCCCGCGGTTCCTTCCAAGGAGTGGGCGACCGTCATTGCGATCAAGTCATCGACGAATTTTACCCCCGAAACATTCGCCAGCTCGTGCACCTGCTCGCTCAGAACGCCCGCGCACCGCAAGATCTGGAAGGCTGGATCGAAGATGACTTGGACCCCTGGGAAGCCTTTTGCCGGAGATGCCCCCGAACGCCTTCGAACCAATCATGTCGTTGATCGCGATGAAGAGACTTTGGCCTTCCACAGAACCCTGGCGCGCCCCTTTTCTCACCGGGGGGTTACGGGCGGGTTGATTGGTACAAGGGCCCCTGATGATATAACAAGTCCCGTTATGTATTTCCTCGAAACAAAGACGAACACCTCTGACAATGATAACTGCTCGAGGACCACCGGAATCAGATCCCGAGGTAAAAGATCGAACGCCTTTTCCAGATCCAGCAGAATAGCTGCGAGAAAACGAGCGGTCGGCCTAGATCGCCGTTCGCATTTACGAATGCGGCGAAGGGTCTCGTCGACCACCACATCGGCGTCTCGTGTAGAGCGGCCTTGTGGGGCTCCAAACTGCGCGCAATAAAGAGAAGCCCCCAAGCGCCGCAACGTCAGCATGGCCACGGTGTTTGCATGGGTCTTACCCATGCGGCCGATGACATGTGTTCTATAGTAGTCTTCCGCGTTGGTCCCGTCGCCTTTGGGTTTTCCGATACTGAGCGTCTCGCCGTTTTTGAGTCGATGTGCAGCTCGGTCGTATACTTGGCATGATTTGAATACGGCCGTCGTTGGGCCTTTGATTACAGGGCTGGAAAGTTCCCACAATTCTGCGACAGCGCCGTCACCTTCAGGTCGGGGGGCGATCGGGGTCCAATGCTCGGGGGCGCGCCATTTCAACGCGGGGCCGCTCTTGAAGTTCGGGAGCTCCCATATGACCTTTTTCTCTACATCGTCCTCTGTGGAATCACCTTCCGGGGAAACATCGGGGTCATTTAGTTCCTGTGGACCACCAGGGTTGCTCATGGGGATCTCCTGGGCCTGGAAGATTTCGCAAAAAGCTCCCGTGCGGACTTGCAGGTCTTCCTGGCCATCCATGTACAGATCCGCTGCAAATGGGTTGCGGACAATGAGAAAAGGGAAGCGAGGCTTGGGCGCACGACGCTTCACAATACTGCAAGAACGCCAAATGTCCTGGCGTTCCTCAGCACGCTCCGCTTCAGAGATCAGGAGTGCCAGCCGCTGGCGCTTCTCGGAACGCGCTGCTCGCTTAGCTGCCAGGGCCGCCACCTTGAAGGACGACATCATGGTCTTCCACAGCCAACTGGTCGTATAACCAACGCTGGTCAGCTTAGTTTGGATGTCCTGCTTTGCCTTGATGAGGGCCAGTGTCTCCTGGCTGAATTCAGGTGGTGACCGCTTCTCAGCTGGAGCCGAATACAGCGGCATAGCAGCATCCACCAAAGCTTCCTCTAGGGCCTCAAAGTATCCTGATGTGTCTCGATCTCTGCAATATGGTCCGCATTCGTCTTTCCAATCGCCGCGAAGACCTCGCTTAGCTAGTCCAGCTTCAAGTCGTACTCTGAGATCAAGGACTCGTGGAGGTGGCTCGGATTCTCCAGGAAAGTTTTGGAGGGCCACCAAGTCTTCCAATAGTCGGTCACGGTTCCAGCCAAGCGGTTCTGAGGTCGACCGTCTCTTACACCGAAGGCCTGCTTTGAAAACTCCCTCGATTGGGCGATGGTCTCGATAACCACTGATGATGATGGCGGCTGTCCTGAGAGGGCACGCTCGAAGTCCATATCCTCCTCGAAGTCATGTGCAGAAATCATCCGTAGTCGACCACGATTTCCCATCTGTATGGCACCATGTTCCGTTGAATCGTTTTCTACTGCCAAAACCACTCAAAGCCATCATCCCTGTTGTCTGCTCTGCAATAATGAGAGGAACTTGTGTCCATTTCTTTTGAGGGTTGTGAGATTGCCCAGCTGTACCGATGTTCGGGAGGTTGGGGCCCCCAGTAGCACACCGGCGTGGGATCTTGGCGATCGTGGCAGCGCACGTATGCCAGAAATGGTCCTGCTGGCGGTAGTGCTCTTGGCGCACAGCTTCCTCCTCGGCACCTCGGGCGACATGATGTGGCGGCTGGTTCGTGGGCGCGTACCCGTTGACGACGTAGACGTCGACAGGGCGCGCCCCGTCTCGCTTCAATATCAGTCCAAGGAAGCGTCCCGCGATCCACTCGCGCGTGCAGCTGAGCTCATGGAGATGAAAAAACAGAGGCTCACGGCGGTGGCACAACCGTCATGTGTTCTGGTACCAGTGAGGGCTGTCGGTACTATGTAGAATCCTTCCGAACGCCACGGTGTGGAAAGCAACATCCGTGCGCTCTGGAGGCAAACTATGGCGATGCCATTTTTTGTACCATTCTGAAAATTGCACCAAGGCGATCCACCCGCACCAGGGACTCGGCGTTGTATGACCGAGCCTTGAGGTAGCCGCTCCTGCGCGACTTGCAAGTAGTTGAAGATGGAGTCTGTGGCAACGAAGTCGTAGCACTACCTGTGAATGGTGGTGAGGTGGACCAAGGGGTCGAAGCCGACAACGCAAACAGCGCAGTCAGTGTAGCAATGCTGGAGCAATCGTAGAAACTGCCCCTATACCAGCACGATCCTGTAATCGCCGCCAGTCTTGCTGCGCGTCGAAGGGTCCTCTTGCCACCCATTCGCCCTTTAGTTCCAGCAAGTCAATGAATCTTATGTTCGTGACGTCGCTGTCCGCAGATGTCGGGCGCCCTCAGCACGCTCACCTCGCCAAACAGGGGCGCTTCAGCGGCGGCCTGCGCCGCATGACGCCTGCCACGAAGCCGCCATGGCTGGCCGCCGCCCTGCTTAGCTGTCGGGGGGGAATTGCGACCCCCCGCTTCCCTTTGGAGGGATGCGCTTCCCTTGAGCCGCCGAGGCTTCGTTTTGCTTCCGCCAGCTTCCGCCAGCCTTCCGCCGACAGTGAGATGCCCCGACGGCGAGGCCCTTCTTGGGCCGCGCCACATTGGGATGAGGAGCCGGCTCGTAGAGAAGGAGGTGAAGGGAGAACAAACGAATCCACGTGTCTTTTTGGGAGGGACTTCCAAAGGGTCCGGCATGTTTCGGAAATCGTCGGTGGTTTGGGAAGGATTCCGCAGCAGGGTCAGAAGCAGGAGCCACATCCCTCCTCCTCGTTTAAAAACGGACATCGGTCTTCGATCACGACCGCGATCTCGCCTCCTCGCAAGGCGTACCGCGCCTTCGCTGGCCACGCGAAAGCCTGCCCTCCATCACGGCATCGGCCCCGTCCCCCTCATGAGGCCCGAGGGTGGTCGGCGCGGCAGCCACGGGTGCGCCCCAGCCCGCGGGGGCAGGAGACCTTGTGCCCTCGCCCTGGTCTGGGCCCGCGCGGCCTAGCAGCCGTGCAGGGCGAACTCTCAGACCACCACGCCGCTTCGGCCTCTCACGCGTCGGGGGATGCCCATCCGAGGCAAGGCAAAACTACAACAGCTCCGACATGGACGCCGACACGACGAGAGCTGACTGCATCTGCTTCCAAGGAAGCAGCCACTGTAAGCATTAGCACAGCACTCGGCTACTCGCAAGGCAGCTGCGAGCAAACCGAGCGAGACACCTCGTCGCTGGGGGGGAGTGGCGTCTGTCACACATCCTCGTCCGCTCGAGCGAGCAGCGCAGCCACCTCGCGGACCGCGGCACACACGGTCGCCGAACAATCAGAAGTCGCGCGCCACTGGCTCTGCGGTCGGAAAAGAACCTGGATCTCAACACGCGCACGTCGGCCTATTGATGCCAAAACGGGAACTGCGAATCAATCAGTCATGCTTTTGCCCATTTCTAGCTGTTAATGGCTTAACGATGGCTACACCAGGCCAGGAGTTCAGAACGGACAGACGACTGGGCCTG